AGAGTACATCGTGAGAAACGCTGGGCTAGAAGAAGCACAAGCTGGAATCAAGATTGCCGGGAGAAATATCAGTAACCTCAGATATGCAGATGACACCACCCTTATGGCAGAGACTGAAGAGGAACTGAAAAGCCTCTTGATGAAAGTGAAAGAGGAGAGTGAAAATGTTGGCTTAAAGCTTAACATTCAGAAAACTAAAATCATGGCATCTGGTCCCATCACCTCATGGGAAATAGATGGAGAGACAGTAGAAACAGTGTCAGATTTTATTTTGGGGGGCTCCAAAATCACTGCAGATGGTAACTGCACCCATGAAATTAAAAGACACTTACTCCTTGGAAGGAAAGTTATGACCAACCTAGATAGCATATTAAAAAGCAGAGACATTACTTTGCCAACAAAGGTCTGTCTGGTCAAGGCTATGGTTTTTCCAGTGGTCATGTATGGATGTGAGAGTTGGACTATAAAGAAAGCTGAGCGCAGAAAAATGGATGCTTTTGAACTGTGGTGCTGGAGAAGACTCTTGAGAGTCCCTTGAACTGCAAGGAGATCCAACCAGTCCATCCTAAAGGAGATCAGTCCTGGGTGTTCATTGAAAGGACTGATGCTGAAAGCTGAAACTCCAGTACTTTGGCCACCTCATGCAAAGAGTTGACTCATTGGAAAAGACCCTGATGCTAGAAGGGATTGGGGGCAGGAGGAGAAGGGGATGAGAGAGGATGAGATGGCTGGATGGCATTACCAACTCGATGGCCATGAGTTTGAGTAAACTCCAGGAGTTGCTGATGGACAGGGAGGCCTGGTGTGCTGCGACTCATGGGGTCACAGAGAGTCAGACACAACTGAGCAACTGAACTGAACTGAACTGAAACCATAACAGAAAAAAATATGAAAAATAATGTGTATATAGATAAATAAATCTGAATCACTGAACACTAAGAATTAATACAACATTGTAAATCAACTGTACTTCAATAAAAGAAATTAATTTTTTAAAAAAATGTCAGCCTTCATTAAGCCCGAACTAGCACCTTCTCCAAGCCTGTGTAAAAACACACAGGATCTTCACCTTAAATGTTTGCCCATAAATCTCCAGTGACACTGAGAACTGCTCAGCAACCAACCACAGTTCAGTAGTTCCTGCACTGTCTTAGTCTCTAAGAGGACTGTTTCTTGCCTATTTCCCTATTTCCCCAGATCTCCAACACTCCTCCCTCCCACCCTGACTCATTCTTAGTTGATGATTCACTTAAAAAAAAAACGAAGCCATCGGAAGAGAAAACCACCTCTTCTTCCCAGGACGAATGCAGCAGTCTACCTGCACCTGGACACGTACACTCAGCATTCCTCCTATCACAGTGGGCACGGCACACCTGCACCTGCTCATTCCGGCCCAGCCCGTCCACGACGGTGCTCTCACAATTCCCCTTTCTGGAGGCTCCCTGTTATCTCCAGCCTGAACTCTGAGCTCATATCTCCAGCTGTTGACTGACATCACCACTTAGGTGACTAGTATCTCAAACCTGACATGTCCAACACAGGGATTCTTAATTCCCTACCCTGATCTCTGCCCCACTTTCCTCAGCCAAGAAAATGACACCACCCTTTACCCTACAGCTTGAGCCAGAGCCTTGGGATCATCCTTGACCCTCTCCTTCTCCACACATACAATCTGACAGTCTGGATTGTCCTGCCTTCAAAATAAATGAGAAATCCTTCATTTCTCTCCACATGCCACTGCTACTGCCACAGTCTCCCGCCATCTCTTGCCTAGCCTATTACACGGCAACTTCCACACACTGCCTGCTGCCACTCTTGCCCTTCCACCATCTGCTCATAGCAGAACAGCCAGGGTGAGCTCTTTAGAACATAACCCAAACCACAGCACTTCTCTGCCTGCAATTCTCCAAGACCTTTCTTTCACAGGATAGAACTCAAACTCCTTGTCAAGGTCACAAAGTTCCTGTGCTTGGCCCCTCCCTCTCTTCAACCCCTTCTTCCTTCTGTCCCCTCCAGAACGCTGGCCTTCTGGCTCTTCCATGGTCACGCCAAAATCCCTCCTGCTCCAGGAATCTGGTCCCTGCTGTCTCTTCATCGCAGCGCTCGTTCTCCAGCTCCTCACGTGCTGAACCCCCTGGTATCACTCAGGCCTCAGGGTCCCCTCCCCAGGCGCTTCCATCATGAACAGTGTGCTCACCTCTTCACCCCTCTCCATCCCAATACCCTGCTTTACTCTCCCTCATGACTTATCACTACCTGCCGCTGCTGCTGCGTCGCTTCAGTCGTGTCCGACTCTGTGCGACCCCAGAGACGGCAGCCCACCAGGCTCCCCCGTCCCTGGGATTCTCCAGGCAAGAACACTGGAGTGGGTTGCCATTTTCTTCTAAAATTACACTATCTATTCATTTGTTTATTGCCTAACCTCTCCACTAGAATGGGAGCTACATGCACTCAGAATAGTGTCTGGCACAGGGGAGGTGCTTAATAAATATTCGTTAATGAGTATTACATTTACAATAAAAATTAAACTACTTTCTAGAAATTTAAATGCATGTACAATTGTCACATTATGAATAAACTATACATGTGGAGAAAGATTACAAGAGGATAGAAAAAAAGATGGAAGTAGTTGCAATAGGAAATTTTTTTAAATTTATACCCACCCTATTTGAATGTTTTATAGCATTGCTTTATAATTTAAAATGTACCTTTTCTGTATTGAAAAATAAGTGAAAGATAAGTGAGGATCTAACAGGGCCAGAGGGTCACGACTCTAAACATTAGTTGAGAGAAAGACAAAATCAGCCCAATACCCGGCAGCTGCCTGGACTATGATCGCCTAAGCCTCTAAGTTGCTAGAAGCCAGCCTGGCACTCACATGTAGGCCATGGTGTTGAAAATCAACATCAGACAGGGTTGCCCTGTGACCATGAAAGATTACATCAAAAATAAAACCATTCCTGTAATAATGACTGTAATCATGACAATAACAGAATGTAACAGAGAATCATGGACACCACTCAGCAATATTTCAACACAGACAAACCATGAACACTGTCCAAATCACAAAATACCAAACACCCACCACCCGCGCCCCCCCAGGCTAATGAGAGACTGCTGCTTCTTTACCGATTTCAGCTTTGGTCCCACTGTAGTCCATTCTCCCTACAGATAAGACTTATTAAAATAGTGAATCATAGAAGAACCCATTTTCTGACAGCATCCAACCCAGATCTAAGCCCTGATCCTTAAAGACTCCAAAATCACTAGCACCAGCCCAAACCCTGTGGTAAGTTTTTCCCTACACCATCCTGAGACGCCCCACAGCCCCCTGTATGGGGTGAGCGCTCTCCCTCACTGCAACAAGCAACAGCCCAATTCGTTCAGCTATGGCCATGTTCCTGGTGGTCTCTGGGTGGTGGGTGCTGACACTTGTCATGACATCAGTTGCCATTACAGGCCATTACATGCTGAAGTCACAGGAGCCTGGCTGGAAAACTGATCCCAGGACATAATCTCAGGGCTGGTTCTCTGAGTATGTGCCCTGATATCAGCTGATTTTCTTATCATCTGCCTCCTTCTCCTAAAAGGTGAGTGAAGGCAGGGTAAAAAAAGGTCAAGTTAATTGAATGTCCTGGTGAATAATATTACTGTTAATCAAGGATGCCCCGCACAGCTTCCAAAGGTACCCTGAGCACAAGGTTAAGAGTGAGGCTGGATGACTGACTCATGGGCAGAGCCTTAGGCAACACTACTCAAGTACTTTAAGCCACATGTTCAAGCCCAATAAATTAGCCCAGGCTTAAAGAAGTCAGGCTGTACACATGTAAGAATTTTAATAAGCTTGGAAAATGCTACCTAGAGCTTATGCACAAGCTTACTGTACCAATGGGATTCCCTGCCACCAGCCACAGAGTGCTAAGCCCCTGACAAGAGCCGTTGAGCACGTGGGGCAGCAGGGACAAGGAGCCAGCTTGGTCCAGGCTTCCTCAGGAGTGGGAGACACAGCAGAAGGCTGGCAGCCAGATGGTTGGAGAGAAGAATGGGGCAGGCAGCACAGTGGAGCCAACGGCATTTACTAGGAAAACATGTCGAAAGTTTCTTTGGTGGAAATCTGGTCTTCACACACCCTTCCAGAAACTAGCAAACACTGTAATCAATGTCTGCATTTATCCAATGCTTGTTTGTACCCAGAACTGTGTTAGGTACAATAGACAGTTATTTGAGCAAACATGGTCTCTGCCTTCTAGATGCTGACACCTAATATAAATAAAAACAATAAATCTGTCCAGAGGATTACCAAACTAACTGAACAAACAGGGAACAGTCTAAAGCATGGACCTTATGTAAATTCAGTGGAGTAAGAACTGAAGGGTAAGTCATGGGAGATGACTCTCTAAACAGGGTGGGGCTCTAATGGAATAGTTCCCTGTTAAGGCTCAATCTTCAAGGTGGGGGCCAGCTTTCAAGAAAAGCTATAAGGGCTGGCTACTAGAGAAAATGAACCAATCAGAGAAGAGGGTGCAGCCTGGAGAATGATTTAGAGGCAGAAATGCAACTATCAAGAGAAAGAAAACTTGACAATCATCCAAGAAAACTAGGGGAGATCAGTCAAGCAGGTATATGTTTCTCAACCAGTTATACTCATGCCCCCCTGTGATAAATGTAAAAAGCTGACACTCCATTAATGTTATTTAAAATTTGAAAGGGAATTACATATCCTAACCAACACCAAATCAGAGCAACAGTGGTATCAGAATCTGATTTTTCCAAATCACACAAATCATCCCCTTCCCCTAGAGTTGAGAATCACCCAGTTGGGTAGCAGTAACTGTCAACAAGGAAAGAATAACTGTCACTGAATTACTTAGGAAGAAAAGATTTAGATCCTGGATCCACAGGGTACCAGAAAACCAATACTAATAGAAAGAGTTACAGCCTAAGGTGACCAAAAAAAAACACAAAACACCATGGCACAAGCAAGAATATGCACTAATTACCTGATTAAAATTTTTGAAAGAGAATTCTTTGTAGATGGCATCTCTCTCACTTAATTCCAACCATCCTGCTTCCTTAAGGTCAAGTATCATCTGGCTCCTCTCCTCTGCAGTCAACTGGTGGGTACCTGCTGACTATGAAAAGAACACATTTAATACCTGAAATGTAGAGGTTTGGTTAAATTCAAATACATGTACAGCTCTTTACTTTATGTAGAGATACAGAAAAAAGTCTTAAGGACAACGATTTCTAACCATCTCTGATTACTTCGTTCTCAAAATACAAAGTTCTCAAAAAGAGATAAAAACAAGACTAGCTCCATGGTATGTGAGCTTATCACCCCTTACAAACGCCTCTAACTTTACAATTCAGCTTTCCTGGTTTCTTACAGATAAAGTTGAGATTGACTATTTGGACATCTTACCAAAGATCATAACCAATGGCCAACATTCCAGGACTTAGGAAACTGAGGTAACACACTCACCCAAGGAACCCTGCAAGTCCACCAGTAGAACCAGGATTAGAACTCAGGACTCTCAACTCCTGGTCCACTCCCTTTGGATGACCCCACATCACCTCAGCAGCCTTCAGTCCTTACTCACATGGGTCTCAACTCTCTGAGTTCACCATCGCCTTTCAATTCTAGTTAAGACCGATCAATCCTCAGAGAGGAAAAAACAAATGCACATTTACAGGGGATTTGATAAAATAACTTCTGGGCATTCACACACCCTCTGGGCTATAGGTTAAAGAGCTCTTGCTTTAGTGGCGTGAGTTGTCTCAGAAGCATCAGTAAGACAGACTCCCTCAACCATCTAGCCACAGCACTGCCCACTTGGAAGCACTTGTGCACAACTGTCCACCTTGTTCCTACTCATCCTGGTGAGAACATTCCCAAACCCAGAGCTCTGTTAGTTAACAGGCCCACACTTGCCATGCTACTTGTTTTTGAACGGAAAGAACTCTGAGCAGCATGACAGACAGAAGAAAAGAACACCCTAGGAGAAGTCAGAAGAGGTATGTTTTCATTCTGGCATAACTGCCCACCAGTACCTCCTGTCTTACCTGTATGCTGGGCTACTACCTGCTCAGGTGAGGGAGGGACTGGCCCCAGAAAGAACGAACTAACTTAAGGCTTCCTTATCAAAGGGCAACCAGAGGCTGAGCTGGATGCTCTGCCATGAAACTTCAACTCATTCCCACTTCAGAAATCCTAAAACCCTTTATCAGTGTAATTAAGAAGGCAAAGGAAGTAAACTTACAATCTGCAAAAAGGAAAAAAGGATGCTAATGAGCCAACCTTCTAGTTTCTCTTCCTTGCTTAGTCAGCTACCCTTCCCTACAACTAACAGGAGATAATGAGAATGCCTCTTAATTAAATAAAAACATTTGAAGGCTTGTTATCAAAAATCACATACTATTAAAAAGAGAAGTATCCATTCATTAGCTTTTCAGTGACAACTGTGAAAAATTTCACAGAAGACCTATACAGGAAATTACCTAAAAATTTTAAACATTTAAATATTTTAATTCAACTAAGACTATCTTGCTAAGGAAACAGAATTATCATTGAATAGCTGCAAAGAAAACTATTAACTATGCTGTGGGTTAAGCAGCAGTCACTGGGAGTCTGTGGAGCACACTCTGAGCTGTCTTCCTCCTCCCTAAACCTCCACATCTCCAGTGAGGTCCATGACTGTGCTCACTACAGGTGTCTACCTAGGAATAGGAGCCAGTACGGAACTGTAAAATGGAGTCACTTCACCCATATAACATAAACAGTCCCCTTAACGACACACACTCCACAGAACCCTTTGTGGTGGACTTGATTTTCTTTCTGTGGGAGCTACGCAGAGAGACAGGGAAAGCATAGGATTTGGAGAGTAATCTTCAATCCAAGCCTAGCTTTGCTACTTTCAGCTGTGGATGCTGAGTAAATCTCTTAGCCTCTCTGAATTGCAATGTTTTAGAGGGCGGATGTTACAACATACACCTGCCAAGATTTTTAAAAGGCTTAAAGAGATCTTAAGTGTGGAGGCACCCAGCATAGAGCCCGGCACGTGGCAGCCACTCCAAACACACCTGTTTATTCACGCCTCCCCAATGCCACAACTGTGCTCGATCCCCAGCGCCCTACACAAAAGTATGCCCTGGGACACGCCTAGGCGACAGTAAGCACTCAACTTGTGTTCTCACCTTAATGGCCACGAAGCAGAATGCTTATCTTCTCCATCATCGAGTCACATTTTTTTTCTATTAAAAAAAAATTCAAACTGCCAAATGGGTTCTAACAAGCAATTTAAGAAAATGAAACGGTGAGTTTAATACAACATATGCCCACTAGGTGGTGCTGCATGTTAAAACTTGCCCTCAAGTCAATTTACCCCCAATATGTGAATTTATAAAACGGGGAAACGGACCGGGCGCCTATAGGGATTAAAAAAAAAAAAAAAATCAGTGTGCAACTCAAAAGATAATTTATTAGTAATTGCTCCAAAAAATTAACACCAAGACAAATGAGTTAATTCAACATTCAGAGCCCCGTTTACAGAGAGCGAGAGACGGTGCCTGCTCTCACCGAGCGCACAATCTAGACGACCCGACAAGCAGCTTTAGTCACATCACGAGTGAAGAATTTTCACAACTGCTTTTCATACTGACTTCTTCTTCTTTTTTTTTTACACTTAAGTCGTGGTGGTTTGTTTTCCGGTTGGCAAGTTCGGAGACTACGACGAAATTCTAAGCCAAGAGAAACTGGAAGATGCTACGGCCACCCCTGTCTCAGACCAGCTCGTCGGCAGGTGCCGGGTGCCCAAACGTGGCTACACGAAGTCCGGGCCCACTTCGGGGCCTGCCCAGGTCCCTTCACCCCTCGGCCGGCATGGCTGGGCCTCGCCCTCCTCCCGCACAGCGGGCCCTCGGCACTCACCATGGCTGCGAGGCTCTGGCTCCAGCCTCTCAGCGCCGCGAACCAGCGCCGCGTCGCTCCCCGCGCCCCGAGCGCCGCCGCCATAGCGTCGCGCCGAGGGCTGCCCGGCGCGCTGCCTGCCCGCCGCCCGCCGCCCCGGAGCCAGGGGCCGTGAGGGGAGCTCCCAGCTACAGCCTAGACCGTCCCGCAAAGCCCTGCCCCGCCGCGCAGGCCCAGACGCGGACCGGCCCCGGAAGGTCTCTGGGAGCTTCGATGGCGGGCAACCCCGCAGGCCCCCGCAGGCCCCCGCAGGCCCCCGGCACTGTCAGCCCCGGCTTGATGGGCCTTCGGCGTCATCGCCGCTCGGGTGCCAGGTTTCCCGCCTGGTGCGGGGCGGGTATTGGGGCTGGCGCGGCTGAGAATGGAGTCCGGTGTCCGGCCCTCGGGTTGTCGCTGCCTCGCCCACAGTCTGACCTCGTTGGGGCAAACAGCACTTGCGGGCTGGAGGATGTCGCGGACGGCGACAGTAAGAGATGAGCTGCAGGGGGGTCGGGGGTGACTGGAGACCATTGCACTCTACTAGCGGTTGTGGGACAGTGAACTACAGCGATGCAAATAGGGCCTTCTAAGTCGGGGAGCCACCGGGTGAATCTCAGCTCTACTCTGTTATTACTTAGCTGCCAGTGTCCTGGGCAGGCTAACTCATCTCTCTTTGTCTAGATAAAATAATTTGGAAAACCTAGCTCACAGTGCTTTCTAAAAGGTAGCACACTCAATACACAGTAGGCATCCGGGAGACAACATGTGGACAGATTTAGATAAATTATATATTTGGACAAAAGGAGTAGTCTTTGTTTTATATATTTGTATTAGTATTTTCTTATCGCTCCTTTTTTTTTTGAGATAGAATTCACATACCATAAAATTCATCCCTTTAATGGGTACAATTTAGTGGGTTTTAGTATATTCTTGTCTTTTTTTTTTTACTAAATAGTTCAAGCAAATTAATAATATGTTTTGCAGAGAACATAGGAATACACTCAGGAATATACTTTTAAAACTATGAGAGTCCATTTAAGTTCAGCTTAGCAGCTGGTTTTATTTCCCATGTAGACTTGAAAAAAAACAAAGCCTGTTTACCTAAAATAGTCTAAAATTCAGACTTATGACCCAGCCCATCTTCTTCATTCTTGCTCACCTGATGAAAACTCAGCAGAGGAATCTTGCTGTAGACCTTCATCAAATATCACTGGTCTCAAAGCATTTATCTGAGACATTCTGGTTTCCTTTGCCTGATGCCATACATGGATATATATAAGAGCTGGAACTGTAGATTGTATTTCCAATGTTTACTTTGGGCATTTGGGATCATGAAAAATGTTCTACTATCTTGCTCATTAAAGTGAGAACTGAGAAATTAACTGGTAGTTGTGAAGTAACAAGTTGGAGACCCCTCATCATTTGCAGTGGTTTGCTTGCATCATTTTCCTTCCCTAATACCTCTCAACTGTCATGGACACTGTTGAGAGAAACAGCCTCCTGCTCACAGTCTTTCACGTCCTGCTTGGCCACATGGACTAGGCCTTGGGCCTGGTACACTTCCTTACCAAAAAAGAGCCCACACAGCTTGCGCCAGGCTGATCAGCCTGTGAGAGTATCCTTCCTTGTTTCAGACTGAATGTGTGCTCCTTTGTTCTACTGAAGCGTGGACGTCAGTGACCCCGGCGCACACACCCCCATTTCAGAATGTCACATTCGGTAGGGGAGAGGGTTCTGCTGTGGCACTAGACGGGCGCTCTTTGGCCATAGGCTGGGCCTGAGGGACATCCTTGAGCCAGGAGGGGCCTATGCACACTACTGGGACTGACCTTGCTGTCTCTTCTCGTGAGAATAAAAACGCTGTTCTATCCAGTGTGTTGTTTTCCTAGGTAACTAATACCAAGAAGTCAGGGACAGAAGTGTTGGGCTTACACCCCTGGTGGCTGGCACCGTGATGATTCTTGCTGTCCTCCGTGGAGTTGCAGTCTCCTCCTGGCATGGGTTCCTGGTATACAGTGTTCTCAACAGACATGTTTGACTGGTCTTGGACCACTTCCTTCCCCTCTAGTTCTCCTTCTCTCAACACCAGTGCTTCCCAGCTGACCCTCTACACTTGGACCTCCCTTCCAGGAACCAGCCCTGTTCCCTATTTCCCTCCAGGGGAGCCTCTGTAGCCTGCCTCAGCTAAGTGTCAGAGGCAAAGCCATGGATCCGCTGGTCATCCTGGGAGCCTTTCCTCACCCTCCAGACTAGTACAGGGCCCTACTACATATGAAACCAGAGGGAAATTCCTGTTTCTTTGATAGGATAACTCCCACTCTGGGAATCTGCCACCAAGGGAATAAGATTATATACACAACCATAAATCCAGCATGAGGACAGGTGAGGTAAGTAATGCTCAATCTATTCAAAGGCCTATACTATAGCCATGGTTAGGAACACTATTACCAACAGTGAAATATTTATCACTTGTTAAGCAAAAGAAGGGAGAAAAGGATGCTATATCATGGCTACAAGTATGGGAAACATAAGAGAAAGACTGGAATGATATGCATATGATGGTTGCCTGGGCCATAGCATCCAGGCAGGACAGAGATCCAGCCCACATAGAGGCTCTAGTGAATGCTTAAGTTTGAAGCTGGGTTCCACCACTGAAAGTATATAATGAAGAGCAAGTTATTTAGGGCCTCACTAATTTTCCAGTGGAGTCAACCTCAGAGGGCCACTGTACAAGATAAAGGAAATGGTATATGTTAAGCACTTAAAGCAATATGTGGCACACATAGTAATACTCAAACATTATTATAAGAGATGGAATAATGAGGGCTTTTTTTTCCCTCAAATATTGTACGTACAGATACACGTATGAAGGTTCAAATCCTAGATTCATCAGCGTACTATGTATGTAACCTAGGTAAGTTATTTAATCTCAATATGCCAGGCTCACACATAAAACAGAAATAATAACAGTACTTTTCTGAGCTATGGTCCCCTCCTGCCAGGGACTACCCCTGCCACAGCTGTCCACAGCATGACACATACATTGTAAACCCCTATCGAATGTTACACTATGGGAAGGAGGCTCATCTAAGGTTCTATTTTCACAGAACTTAGAATACCTTATGATCTAAACTATCTAAACTCCGGAAATGATCAGTATAACAGTAGTTTATTATTATGTAGTCAACTGTCATGTCTGAATTTAAAGGATCTTTTAGAAACAGCCTTTCAAAAAGTTCATGTCAATTACACATTGTCTCTTTTCTACATGTGTCCTAAACTAGACCATAATCAACTGTGGGCAACAACAGTACTTTATATTTCTTTCGGCTTTCACTAAACCTAGCAGAAGGCCAAGAACATTTTAAGGTTCAGTTAATGCATGCTGATTAACATCTGCCTTACCCAGAAACAACTTCTCAACCCACTTCAGATCCTTTCAGTGAAATCAGAGGTCACAAACACCACAGTATCCGACTCTTTATTTTCCCATCAGCTGCTACTTGTAAGGTCACACCTATTGATCCTAATTATTCTTCCCATAGAAGAACACTTTCCTGCTTACTGACTCTGGGAGAGAAAAGACAAATGAACAGAAAATCAACTTTCTTAGGTGTATACAAGAAATCAACAGTTTTCTAAATCCACAATCTGAAAGTCTTTTTTCTGCCTAAGTAAGCATACTGTCACTCTGTTCATTACTCCACGAAAATACATCTTCACATGTCAAACTGGATTACTCCCTTAAAATGTTCAAGTAGTAAAAATAAGAATGGTGAATTCTACTGAATATGTTTGCATTTGCTTATTATAGGACTAATTAAAACATCAGTTTATAATTTTTTTTTACACATTCAAACAGTTCAGCAAACACATGATTCTTTCAATCTGACTAAAGTTGTAAGTCAGCACTTCACTAGAGAAAATACATGAAGTTGCAGCATTAGTCTCTGAAACGAAGGAGTGAAATTCTTCCCAACTCTCCTTCCAATCTGTCACTACTCCGCATGTTCCTGCTCTTGGCCCGGAATCAGCCACCGAATACTCTCAGTTCGAATGGTAGCATACATAATAAAACTGATTAAAAAGAATAAGGAAAATACAAGCAACCAGTCCACATTTTTTATCAAAGTGCTGGGAAGAGGGCCTATTTGGTCGGCTTGAGTTACCACCACATTTTTCTTGGCTTCTATACCTGAAAGAGAAATCAGTTTTGTTTCAAATGAGATAGAAAACACTCCCACTACAGATTTTTCTTAAGTATTCTGCATGGCATGCAAAATGATATGTAGCTTAAACAGCACAGCTAGTATAGCTGGGATGGGCTTCACTTGCCTGTCAGGGTAATTTGTGACTTACCCTTCTCTCCACCCCATCAAAGGAGCAGGAATCTACTCAGCTGTTCAAAGCTAAAACACTAGAATTTCAGTGAACTCACCAGAAAGGCCTCAGTTGGTGCATTGTATGAGGTGTCTTTTGTTCTCTTTCAAGACCAAAGTTCAACAACTTAGTAAAGCTATTCTCAGGAGTCTACAGAATGTTGTCACAGGGTGAGTAATGCTAAATTCAAAATGTTTTAAAATAATTTACTGAAAGAATGGTTAGAAAAACTAACCAACACTGGGATCAGTGATTACCAAAGTGATTACATAGGTTTCACTTATGTTCTAAGTTTTGTGACAGCACTGAACAAATTAGCTTCCCTTCTCCATATCAATCTAAACGACAAGAAGGGATCCTTTACAAGACTTGGAATAACTAAATACCTGGTAGTTAGTTACTCCCATAAGGTAATTCAGCTCTTTATTCTTCTGTGTTGAATCTAAGTAATTACATACAGCTAAGAATATATGGAAGGTATAATAATTTTTATTCACTTCCAATGAATATATTTCAGGAAAAAGTGGGTACTCATAACTGAGGCATTAAAGGTTTTGAGGAATGAACTTTTCCAATGAAGGAAATTTCATCACTATTCAGTGCTCAGACTTCCACAGCATAAAAATAAGGACCTGTGTTTCAGCAAATATCCAG